TGTTGCTGTCTTTGCACATGTGTTGGAAATCTCCATCTCCTGCGCCTGCGCCTAGACCTGCACCTGTGCAGAAAAAGGCCAAGTGGTCCACCAAGTCCACTCATTTTTTTGTTTCTTGTTTTTTGGGTTTTTTTCTGTTCTGTTTCTATAGCTCTTAATTGCAATTTACGAATCCCTGCCTTTGAAGAGACGTTACTGTTTGTTTTAACCCTCTGTATAACAGGCCTGTATTATGATCGGGTTATGCAGTCGATTATATCAACCATTATAGTGTTATAGCTGAACGTCGAGTTTCCTCTTTCTCTGAATAAAAAGGAGGTGGTGGCAGTGTGAATGGTTAATTGCCTAATTAACCTGACCCAGTAACAATCGATTCAGGCTGCTGGCACGTCGATCTGTATCCATTAGCTGGAAAATCGTTGTGCAGGGTGCAGCTGGGTGTGGCATTGTTACGCACGTCACATCGCGGTTTTAGATTGGCTAGTCCTTTGGTCAGGAGTTGTGTGAGAAGGTCTGGGGTCTGACACAACGATTGTGACATACTGGACGTCGCGATCGTGGGATTGTCGCAGGTTGGTGGTGGTGATCTTGCACACCGTGACAGTACCCATATGAAACATTTATCAATTGTTTTTCACACAAATGGAGATTTCTTTTGGTGGTATTTTATCACTGCTGGGTGTTTTAATTTTTGCGTTATAAACAAAAAAAGAGCAAAAACTTTGAAACAAAAAGTTTTTCTTTGTTTCTATTATAAACTTTAGCAAACAAGTAGTTTTTCTCCTTCACTGATGTGCGTTGAAGAGGCTGCACTGATAGGCAGCACTGATTAGCACGGATAGGCAGCACTGATAGGCACTGATGAGGTGGCTTGGATAGGCAGCACTGATGGGCACTGATAGGAGGTACTGATAGGAGGCACTGATAGGCGGCATTGATAGGCAGCACTGATGAGCTGGCACTGATGATGTTACACTGACAGGTGGCACTGCTGGGCACTGATAGGTGGCACTGCTAGGCACTGATGGGTGGCACTGACTGATGCCACTGCTGGGCACTGACTGGCAGCACTGTTGGGCACTGCTGGGCAGCACTGCTGTGCAGCACTGATGGGTGGCACTGATGGGGGGCACTGCTGGGCACAGGTTGGTGGCACTGCAGCACTGATGGGCACAGGTGGGTGGAACTGATGGGTACATGTGGGCGGCACTGATGGGCACAGGTGGGTGGCACAGGTGGGAGGCACTGCTGGGCACTGATCATCATTGCCCTGATAATCAGTGCTGATCCCTTCTCTGACAATTGCCGATTATCGGCAGTACTTTCCTCAGGCTAGGACAGCATGAGGAAACTGCAGCCGATAACCGGCAACTGTATTTACCCGGTGATCTGCTGTGTCATTGGACACAGCTGATCACGTGGTAAAAGGCCGCTGTGATTTGCCTTTTACCACATTATGTGCAGGAATATTGTCATGGTGGACAATCCACTTGTCTGACCACTATTCCGGTCTTTTCCTTCAAACAGATTCCCATACCATTTAATTTTCCACATTTGCATCCACCCTTTGCGTTTTTGGCTGCCCATTTCTTGTATCATCATGGATATCTTCCTGACCTCAGCCTATGGCATTCAAAAAACACTTAAGGGAGTGTTCGCCATAAGCCTATTGTAACAAAACTAAACTTTTGCCAATTTTTGATTATAATCCGCTGCTCCAGATTCCTGTCATTTTCCACCAACAGCGCAATGCACAAATTTGGTATTATTTCTACGACTCCATAAAGACTGAGTCTACTGGTCTGCAACCCAGGCAAGTGCAAGTTAGAACATGTTAGAACACGCTCGAGTGCGAATGGCTATGTGATTCAAGACCATAGTGCTATGTCATGGGCATACCAGGAAATAAATTGCCACGCCATGTATATACCCTGTTTCCCCGAAAATAAAACCTACCACGAAAATAAGACCTAGTACAATTTTTGGGAATTGCTAAAGTATAAGACCTACCCTGAAAATAAGACCTAGTTGTGATCAGGGCTTTTTTTTCAGCCAGAATGTGTCAGAACGCTGTTCCGCCATCTCCGGCACTGGCCCTGTGCACAAAAAAAATATATACTGTCTATTATAAACACAGAAGCGCGGCTTTTGTGTTTGCAAGTGACAGTCCCTCTTGTAAGTGACAGTACCATCCGCTCCCACAGAACCTCCCTACCTCTGTACTCATTGTGGAACTGGGAAGGAACTGATATCTGTGGGCGCAGTGTGCAGTGTATTTACGGGTGGGGCATCTGTCCTGCAGCCTAATGCACGGAAGCCGATGTCCCAGGGGTGATCTCCGGCCAGTGTGGAAGAGAAAGCGGTGAGTGAGTGTGCTTGGTGCACTGTGTGGGAATGTAGGACCTGAAACAGGAGTTATTATAGAGAGGGGCTGACTGCTGATAGCTTGTTTTGCAAAGCTAGCTAGCCATATGAAGGCAGTGGATGGGGAGGAGGGATGTGCAAAAATGAGCTGCAGTCAGGTGTTGCAGAGGTAAATTCACAGGTGAGTTGCAGAGAGGGTGCTTAGGTGAGCTGCGGCTGGGGGGGGGGTGAAGAGGTGAGCTGAGTTGCAACCCACTTCTGCACCCCCTGACCACAGCTCAGCTCTGAAGGCCCTGACCACAGCTTGCCTCTGCACCCCCCAGCCAGAGCTCACCTCTGCATCCCCTGTCCGCAACTCACCCCTGCACCCTGTCTGTGGCTCATATCTGCACCCTGTCTGAAACTCACCTGTCAAGTCACCTCTGCAACACCTGACTGCAGCTCACAACTTTCATCAGCCGGCCCTCTCTATAGTAACCCTCATCCACAACTGCCTGCAGCTCACCTCTGCACCCCCTGTCCACACCTGTAGATTACAAAAATAAGACCTACCCCAAAAATAAGACCTAGTGTGTTTTTCTGAGCAAAAAAAAAATATAAGACAGTGTTGTATTTTTGGGGAAACACGATATATATATATATATATATATATATATATATATTATATATATATCAGGGGTTTCCTTTTAACCTTTTGACTTTCCTGGGTCTCCAGCCACATAAAATACACTAACAATAAGGATAGCTGATGAGCAGAAAATGTCACGCAAATCACAAGTTAACGATCCCTGATATACATAATGTACTTATCTGAGTAATAAAACTTCATTTTTTAAAATATTTTTATGAAACTAAAAGAGGACAACATAAAAACTAGAGCAATATTTGACACTGTTTTTGATAAACTAATGTATCATTATCTGGTTGGATGGCTGGAGTAGCAATTCTCAATGAGTTCTCAAGGTGCTCATTAGATATTTTGGTTCTAATTTTTCCCTTTGCGTGCTTCTTCCTTGGAAATAGTTCTCACAAATATAAGTGCTGCCGAAAACTGATGACATAAACAAGGCGTGGGAAGGGTGGGAGATTTCTCTTTGGGAAGCTAAAACTTATAAATATCCAGTAAAGAGACACTGTCAAATTTTTCTTCAGCCACATGTGTTCGCACTTGCATGTGTAAATGCATTTAAAAAAAAAAATCAACATATTTAAGTAAGTTGATGATTTTGTGTTGAGCTGCATTCATAGCACGTGACCCGTGGGCTGCAGGTTGGGCACCCCTGAAGTTTTTGTGCCTACAGTTTAACTTTAAGGTTTCCAAATAGAGGAAAGCAACAAATAGAAAAAAACACTGACTTTGGGGGGTAGTTTCATGTGCGAACAGCTACCGGTGTAGCAAATATTGTTTGTTCATTACCATTATTAGTGTGGGATTCAGATAATCTCTAGGCTTTGCAGCTCAAGGAATAAACTGTAGAAACCTTTAAAAATAAACAGATCTATTTCACAGCATGGAAAGCTTTAAAAATAACAAACTAAAGAGCCTAGAAAAATAGCCATCTGCATTAGCAGTGTTCAGAAAAGACATCTGCAGTCACAACACACTAAAGAAGACTCGTAGAACTCTTTGTAAACCTCAGTATAAATCATCTAGATTTCTGGCCACCCACTCACTGAGACTCATGGACAGCAGGGGATGGCGGCGCAGCTGGATGGGTGACTTGGGAGCATCTGTGAGTGAGTGGGTGCTGAGACTGATTTGCCTAAATTGTGGTCACCAAAGCTTCAGTGTCCCCAAAACAATGTTTTGGTCTTATAGCAACTTCTGTAAATGTGTCTGTCTGTTCATAGATTTTAGATTGAGCTACACTCAAATACCTTGTGAACTATTTATATATTTATATGTTTATTCAGACCTCACTTTAGAATATTTTTTCTCATCTTGTATACACTATATTGCCAAAAGTATTGGGACGCCTGCCTTTACATGCACATGAAATTTAATGGCATCCCCTTTTTAGTCTGTAGGGTTCAGTATTGAGTTGGCCCGCCCTTTGCAGCTATAACAGCTTCAACTCTTCTGGGAAGGCCGTCCACAAGGATTAGGAGGGTGTCTATGGGAATGTTTGACCATTCTTCCAGAAGCGCATTTGTGAGGTCAGGCACTGATGTCGGACGAGAATGTCTGGCTCGCAGTCTCCACTCTAATTCATCCCAAAGGTGTTCTATCAGGTTGAGGTCAGGACTCTGTGCAGGCCAGTCAAGTTCCTCCACCCCAAACTCACTCATCCATGTCTTTATGGACCTTGCTTTGTGTACTGGTGTGCAGTCATGTTGGAATAGGAAGGGGCCACCCCCAAACTGTTCCCACAAAGTTGGGAGCATGAAATTGTCCAAAATGTCTTGGAATGTCTACGCCTTAAGAGTTTTCTTCACTGAAACTAAGAGGCCAAGCCCAACCCCTGCAAAAAAAAAAACCCCACACCATAATCCCCCCCCTCCACCAAACTTTACACTTGGCACAATGCAGTCAGGCAAGCACCGTTCTCCTGGCAACCGCCAAACCCAGACACGTCCATCAGATTGCCAGACAGAGAATCGTAATTTGTCACTCCAGGGAACACATCTCCACTGCTCTAGAGTCCAGTGGTGGCGTGCTTTACACCACTGCATATGACGCTTTGCATTGCACTTGGTGATGTAAGGCTTGGATGCAGCTGCTCGGCCATGGAAACCCATTCCATGAAGCTCTTTATGCACTCTTGTGCAAATCTGAAGGCCACACAAAGTTTGGAGGTCTTCAGCTATTGACTCTGCAGACAGTTGGCGGCTTCTGCGTACTGTGCGCTTCAGCATGCGCTGACCCCACTCTGGTATTTTACGTGACCTACCACTTGGTGGCTGAGTTGATGTTGTTCCCAGTTGCTTCCACTTTGTTATAATACCACTAACAGTTGACCATGGAAAATTTAGTAGCCAGGAAATTTCATGGATGGACTTATTGGACAGGTGACAACCTATCACAGTACCACGCTTGAATTCACTGAACTCCTGAGAGCGACCCATTCTTTCACAAATGTTTGTAGAAGAAGTCTGCATGCCTAGGTGATGATTTTACACACCTGTGGCCATGGAGGTGATTGTAACATCTGAATTCAATGATTTGGAGGGGTATCCCAATACTTTTAGCAATATAGTGTATGTGATTGCTATTGCATTTTTGGCAATTTAAGTGTATGTAAACTTTAATCTATTGTTCAGTATGTCAGGCCAGCATGTGTCAGCAAGGGTGCCAGGGCACTCTGGGGCGCTGTCTGGGTTCAGCAGGGGTGCCACATTGTGCCCAATATTTCTGCTCAGCATTATGGTTTGTCCAATGCACAATTGATCAAGCCACCAGCACCATGGCAATGCATGAGACTAATCCAGGGCAGGTGGCATTCAGGACAGCCCCAGGACCAGAAGTCTGCCTCCTTCTTGGCCTGCATCACCTCCCACCCACTGCGGTACTACCACAGCCATGCTGTGGTGAAGATTGGAAGCCAAAAGTCTTATGTAAAAGGGGGGGGCTGAAGATTCTGATGTGGAAGAGGAGAATCAGGACTCTTAGGGTGCATTCACTCTTGCATCCACGGTCTGATTACATGCTAGAATCCCAGCAGGAGTTTCAGTGATGAACTGCGAGAGGCAGCCCTATTGAAAACAATGGGAGACTGCTGGTTCCCACAGCTAATCGCTCCCACTTGCATGTAATTGCTCATTCAGCAATCACATTTGAGTGATCGGCCCTGGACACCAACTGCCTGACTCTGCACTCCTGGACTGAGCACTCCTATGTGAAAAGGGGAGAGGGATTGAGAACTCTGATGTGAAAGGGGGGGGGGGCTGAGGACTCTGATGTGAAAGGGGGAAACTGAGGACTCTGATGTGAAAGGGGGAAACTGAGGACTCTCATGTGACAGAGGGGGGGAACTGAGAACTCTGATGTGAAAGTGAGGGCTTTTGACGTGACAAGACGAGGGACACTTAGTAGTTGGTCTCCCTCTTCGCCTGTGATTTCTCTCTTCTGACACTGTGACCAAAATAGGACAGTTGTAAAGTCCTGAATTTGACTTTCATGCTTTTCAAGGACTTCCTAGGGAATCAGCAATCTGGGAGAATGGTGACCAAGGGTTGGTTAACTTTGAATATATTTTGATATTCTCTATATTTTGTGCCATCCTCTCCCTACATAGGTATTGTAATTGCTGTATCCATGTTTAACCACTTAAGCTCCAGAAGATTTTACCCCCTTCATGACCAGGCCATTTATTGCTGTTTAGCACTGCACAACTTGGCAAATGCAAGGGCATGCAACAATCCCTTAGCCCACTTGGAAAAAGCCAAGCTGGGGGCATTGGAAAAGTGGTGGGCTGCCCACCTAGCATGATTCAACATTAAAATACACTTCTGACCTAGAAATCTCAATGGACACACAGATGCCTTTTCCCAGTTCCCTGTGTAATGCCCTGGCGAGGATGTGGATGCCAGTTAAGAAGATATAGAGGTCACTCCTGTTTTGCCTAAGTCAGCAGCCTTCCAGGTGCAGCGTTTCCTATCTCACAAATATAGACCTTCTGCAAGGAAATGTCAGAGACTAGCCCCTGTGGCAGGGGGCCATCCTGAGACCGTGGGATCGGCTACAATTCTGGGACAAAGTGTTTTACTGGCAAGCCGGTTGTGGTTCCCCAGTTGCATATCCTGGAGGTCTGTCAACTGCTCCATGTCGCAGGTGGACATTTTGGGGTGGACTGGACAGAGGCGCTAGTTCAAAGATATTTCTTTTGCCCCATCAGTAGCTCTGGGTACAAAAAGCCCGCCAAAAGTGTAAGAGTTGTTCCATCCACAGGACACCCCCTGGGAAGGAGTCACCCATGAGTATCACCACCTCTGAGCCTTTTGCGTTGGTGACCATGAACATCCTAATGATCACAAATGCACCCATGCACTTCCAGTAGGCCCGAGTATTTGTTAATTACTTCACTAAATTTTCAGTTGTGGTGCCTACCAAGGACCAAACAGCAGCCATCAACGCTAGATCCTTTTGGGAGCACATTGTTCAGCCCTACAGATGTCGTAAATGGATCCTTTCAGACCAGGGTCCAAACTTCAAGGTTCGCTCTGAAGAAGAGGCTAGTTCTCGAATCATATCAGCCTGTTGAAGATCCTATTGTCCTGTCATGATATATGATGCATTGTGGATTGGATCGTGTTGTTTCCATATGATGAGCTTGTGATACTTGCTAATTTTGTATGTATAATACCTACTATTTTTTATAATAAAGCCAAATAAAAAAACAAAAAACACCACTCCAGGTCGGTTCCCTTTTCCACTACCATACACACACTAAATCCCAGGTGCTGGTGCTTAGTCATAGCTCAAAGATACACTTTAACATACAGATATATATATATATATATATATATATATATTTACACATACAAAGTAACAAAATAATTACAAAGTGAAAACACTCATGAGAAGTTAGCTAGTGAGATGCAGCTAACTAGACACTAAAAATGTAAACCCATCAAAAAACACAGTACCAAGTATTTTGAAAAAAGAAAGTGTCAGGAATGGACTCGCCAATGGTGGTGGGACTCACCTGCCTTGTGGGCTGCAGTACCAGGGCTGGCCAGCGGGTGCTCTCAGCAGCCAGAAGCTCACTCCTGCAATCAAGCCATCACCTGAGGCTGATTGCAGGAGGTGTATTTAAGGAATGGCCAGGCCAGCAGTCAGGGCCTTGGTGTATTGTTCCCATGAGCCCCTGTACCTGCATCCTGTCTGCTTCCTGCCTGATCCTGACTCTGCTTGATCCTGACTCTGCTTGAACTCTGCCTAAACCGACCTCGGCTACTCCTGACCAATCTTCTGCCTACTCCTTGTACCTGGTCTGCCTGTTAGCTACCGACCCGGCCTGCCTGACTACGTTGTGCTTCATATTTTTTATATATATATATATATATATATATATATATATATATATATATATCAGTTAAGGTTTGGGTTTGTTGCACCTTGTTGTACGTATTTTTGTTAGTTTTGGGTTTGGTTTGTTGCACTGCGTTTATGTTTGTGTTGCCCTTAATAAATTATATTGTTTTACACGCTATACCTGAAGTCTGTACCGACCGGCCTGCCTGACTACGTTGTGCTTCTTATTATATATATATATATATATATATATATATATATATATCAGTTAAGGTTTGGGTTTGTTGCACCTTGTTGTACGTATTTTTGTTAGTTTTGGGGTTTGGTTTGTTTGCACTGCGTTTATGTTTGTGTTGCCCTTAATAAATTATATTGTTTCCCTGTGTCGGTCCACACACCTCTGGTCATACCCGGAGCCCTGACAGAAAGAAAATCCTGTATATGGGACACAGAATTTGAAGATATATATATAAACATTTATGTTCCATCAAAAATCTTCTATTCATAATAATGTGACACATCCCACTCATGATTTAACCCCAAAGGTTTCCTAATGCCCAAACAAAATCCAAAAGACTTCTTTTTTACACAGCATTCTAAACCTGTCTCCCCTTCTCACAGGGACTACAGCCCTTTCCATACCTTGAATTTGTAATGCAGAAACATCGCCATCATGACATTCATTAAAATGATTTGCCACATTGGTAGAATGCTCCTTACAAATATCATAAGGGTGATCATGCAGTCGATCCCTCAATCTATGGGTTGTCCGACCCACATACTGAACTGAACAAAGTGTGCAGGTGATGACATAAACCAAGTTTCTTGTGTTACGATTAATAAAGGAGAGTATTTTAAGGAAGGAGTTTAAGGAGTTGGCTAGGGTCCCTCAAACATGCAGATCTGGGCCTCCTCCCTTCCTCCACCCCTCCTTCAGAAAGCTCCCAGTTTTCTGGAGAGGTGGGGGGCTCCAGAAGCCCTGACCTTGTAGAGCCTCCCAGCCTGTCCTGAGGTAACCTCATTATCTTTCTCCCCAGGCTGGCTCATCCCCAGACTGCTATTCGGCCTCTGTCAAAAAAAATCCTAAAATCTAACTAACCTGGAGGTTGTTACAAGTGTTATAAATACAATAATAATATTAATATTCTTTTGTACTATCACCCTCTTCCTTACTAACCTGCCTGCACCAAATACACATGTATTTGCAAAAAAACCTGCAGTTGCATAGCAATTTGCCCATGTGTGCGCATTGTGTTGCGATGCAGAGGACAGCATCTGTCAAAGAGGGGTATGTAAGCAGGTGCAATTTGCTTTCTCCACTGCAGGTGGCGCTTGGCTGGAACTGTACTGCAGCCTGGAGAAGAGGTTCATGTTTTTTCTATGGTTTCCTGAGCCCTGAAGGCAGCATTCCGGTTGGCTACTTTGCACCCAGGTGATCCTTGCCAGTCACCTTTATAAGTCCCTGCCTCCAGGTTTTGCGAAGTGGCAAGAGTAGGGAAAGAGCACCTGTCTGTCTGGGAAAGTGTTAGTGGCAGAGAAAGCTTCTAGATGAGTAAGGACAGGCCAGGGACTCGCAACCCTGCATAAAAGCCTCCCCTTTGGCAAAAGACTGGCCAGGCCATATTCCACCCTCTGAAGACAGATGCTGTTAGTGCATCATTACCCACTGTATCTCTGCATTGAACTGAACTGTCAGTGTTACCTAAATGTGAGTGTTCTTCCGCTGAGGTTGCTTGTATGAGGGGTGTTCAAATTAAACCGTGACTTTTAATTTTATAGGTATAAAAAGAGATGCTAGCATGGCAGTACTACATGCAGTAGTAAGGGGCAAGTGTATCCTATTACTGATAGGCAACGCTCATGTAGTGGGCCAGTCCAGAGACCATGAGTCAAGATGGCAGACAACAGTGTTAGTGTGTGCTTGGAACAGCATGTGGTGATGAAGTTTCAAAGATGGCCATACATCCGTCAGATGATAGCGGCCTTGGTGGTTCCCAGCCCACAGCAGTCATTCCTGTGAACATTCAAAAAGTGGAACACCTGATCCTGGATAATCGATGCAGAAACTGATGTGAAATTGCACAAGAGACAAATCTTTCTATGGGAACGATGAACAC